TGTTCCTCCTAATCCTGGCCTCTGTCCGCGCCTGGGGTTGAGTAATCAGTGGCGTGTGTTTGCTGCCGAGGTCTGGCTCCCCTGTCTAAGACCACATGCAACACAGAGTGCTTTCTGCATCCCCCAGGGCCTGGGCCCAGAGAGGCTGGTGTCTGGCTCAGACGACTTCACCTTATTCCTGTGGTCCCCAGCAGAGGACAAGAAGCCCCTGGCACGGATGACGGGACACCAGGCCCTCATCAACCAGGTGCTCTTCTCTCCTGACTCCCGCATCATGGCCAGTGCCTCCTTCGACAAGTCCGTCAAGCTGTGGGACGGCAGGACGGGCAAGTGAGTGGGGGTGGCAGCTGCTCCTCTGTAAGGAGTGAATAGGAGGGGGGGCCCTGGTGCTGCCGCTTACCAGTGTGGGCCTTTTCCGAGCCTGTTTCCTCTTCTGTACTAGGCAGACCCGATACCTCTCAGTTTTGTTGCAAGGTTCAAATGAGATGTTATATTGAGGACCAGTGCTGAGCAGGCACTAGAAATGCTCATTCATTTCATGTCTTAGGGGAAAAGTGATCTTAGAGCTAGCGCGAGGGCAGGAATGCAGCTCCAGAGGAGGTGAAGTGGTAGGTAGGTGTGTGGTACCATCATGTGGCCCTCCTCGAAGTGCAGGCCACAGACCAGCGGCATCAGCATCACCTGGGAGCCTGACAGAAGTGCAGAGTCTTGGGCCCTGTCTCAGACCTTAAGGGTCAGAATCTGCATTTTAATAAGGTTGCCAGGTGACTATGTGACCCAAGTTTGGGAAGCCTTGGCATAGTGAGGTTCAGTGCCCTTGGGGTTAATCAGGTCAGAGGAGAGGCAAAGGCCCAGGCCAGGAGGGAAGAGGAGCCAGGGAAGCCCTGAGGCTGAAGGGGAACCTACACGTCAGTCATTGCAGGTTTTCACACAGCAACAACCCTTTGAAATAGGCAATTCAGTTCCTTTTTAAAATAAGGAAACTGAGTCTCAGAGATGCCTGATGGTTTGTCCAAAGAGACACAGCTAGACTGCATTGACTCGAAAGCTCCAGGCCTTTTATTCCATGCCCCCTGTGAGCAAGCAGCCGCTGTGCTGGGGGGATGTCAGGCAGATGGGCTAAGCAGGTGGCTGCCCTGGAGTCTGTGACGTGCCAAGTTGTGCGGGTATGGAGGCCTGGCAAGAGGCACCCTAGAAGCACCTTGTTTGGAGAAGCTTTGCAAATAGTAATGACCAACAATGATTAAAATGGTCTGTGGGGGGGCCAGGCAGCATGATTCTGTAAAAGTGCCCAGGTCATTCTAACAGGCAGCCTAGGTTGAGAACCACTGCTGTGGGCACGGGGAACCCTTCAGACGTTAATATCCATCATCGTCTTCCCCTGGCCCAGGTACCTGGCTTCCCTGCGTGGCCACGTGGCTGCCGTGTACCAGATTGCATGGTCAGCTGACAGCCGGCTGCTGGTCAGTGGCAGCAGTGACAGCACGCTGAAGGTGTGGGACGTGAAGGCCCAGAAGCTGGCCACAGACCTGCCCGGCCACGCGGATGAGGTAGGGCCGATCTGCACAGGCAGGGGAGGGGCTGGGGTTGCAGCCCAGCTCTCCTCTCCTCACCTCCCTACTTGCCTTCCTCTTCCTCCTCCTCCTCGGTTTAGGTGTATGCTGTCGACTGGAGTCCAGACGGCCAGAGGGTGGCAAGTGGTGGGAAAGACAAATGCCTCCGGATGTGAGTGTGGGAGGTCGTGGGTGGCGTGCTCAGCTCTCCTGCCTTTGCGCTCTGTCCCTTGGGGTGTAGAATTCTGCAGGGCCCTCCGGGGCTCTTACCATCCCTAAGGAGGTGTGTGGTGCAGGTCTTCAGCGGGCAAGTGGGAGAGCCACCGGAATTACGGAGGCCAGGGGAGACCCTCTCCAGAGGGTGCATCTAGGGTCTCCCCAGCACTGGACTTTGGGGTTACAAGACCTGAGTTCAAATCCTGCTTCTGCCTTGTAGTGTGCAATTGCAGAGAGGTTGGTTAACCTGTCTCTTGAGAATCGTCAAGTAGACAGGAGGGTGAAAGATAGGGTGAATATTCTCTGGGACCTAAAGCTTATGTAATTTTGAAGGATTGTCGCTGTTTGGCCGTGGGCGTCCCAGGGCCGGGCCAAACGAGTTGCTTCTCCTTGCCAAGGCAGGCAGTGGGTGGGTAGCCTGATTTTGGGTGGCTACAGCAGGGATGGGTATAGGCTTTTGACTTTGAGGGTGAAGCATGAGCTGTTCCTAAGGGTAGGCCCTGGGATTCCATGGGAGCCTCCTTTGCTCATACCCTCCCCTCTCCACAGATGGAGGAGATGAAAAGTCCCACCGTTCTCTGACCCCTGTCTGGACTCCACCTCTGCCAGCTGCCTGCCCTGCCAGACAGCAAAGGCCAGGGTGGCTGTGCACACACCCTCCTCAGCAGCGGTGACCTGAGAATGCACGTGGCCTGCTGTCCTTACAGACCCTGGTGGGGTCTCCCCACAGGTCCCCTGCCTGTGGCACACCCTAGAGCCGGAACTGGAAGGTCACAGGAGGTTCGCACTGAACTCAGCCCGTGACCACTGCCCTGTACCTTGCTGGTGCTGGCGGGCTGGGGGAGGCCGGGCTCTGCCTGTGCCTCTGCTGCTGCCGCCCCTGTCTCCTTTCCAGGTGTCAGCTGTGTTAGGGTCAGACCCCAGGTTCTGTGACCAAATAAATAACTTATATTTTGTGTGTTTGGGGTATAAGTTCTGTCCTAGAACCTCCAGGGTTCAACCAAGGACCCTAAATCAGTTTGGTCCCCTACCTTGTACAGGAATGCACCAAAACCACACTGACCCTCTCTTCTGCCTGTGACTGCAAGGGAAAGGCCAGTATGGTAGTGGCCAGAGGAGAATCTAAGGCTGTGCTGTCCACTGTGGTAGACACTAGCCACATGTGGCTGTTTACATGAACTAGAATTAAGTACAGTTAGATATGCAGTTCCTCAGTCACGCTAGCTAGAGGCCCCAGCATTAGCACAGATAAATGTTTTCATCCTCACAGAGTCCTGCTGGCCAGGCCTGCTCTGGGGGATGCCTCTGCCTCCCCCGCAGCATGCTTCAGAGCCCTGCCGGCACCAAGCACTGCACTCAGCCCTCAGGATGGAGAGGGGAAGGCGATGGCTGTCCCGCAGCATGCCCTCTCCAACAGGAGGCAGTGGTACGGTACAGTGTTATAAGAGTTTGGAGCAGGCTGCGATGGCTCACGCCTGTAATCCTAGCACTCTGGGAGGCCGAGGTGGGAGGATCGTTTGAGCTCAGGAGTCCGAGACCAGCCTGAGCAAGAGCAAGACCCCATCTCTACTAGAAAATAGAAAGAAATTAGCTGGACAACTAAAAATATATAGAAAAATTTAGCCGGGCATGGTGGCGCATGCCTATAGTCCCAGCTACTCGGGAGGCTGAGGCAGAAGGATTGCTTGAGCCCAGGAGTTTGAGGTTGCTGTGAGCTAGGCTGATGCCACAGACACTCACTCTAGCCTGGGCAACAAAGCGAGACTCCCTCAGCAAAAAAAAAAAAAAAAAAAAGGAGTTTGGAGCAGAAGTGGATATGGTCTGACATGGAGGGCAGGCTTTTTTTTTAAGAGACAGGGTGTTGCTCTGTCGCCTGGGCTGTCGTGCAATGGTGCGTTCATAGCTCACTGCAGCCTCAGACACCTGGGCTCAAGTGATCCTCCCACATAGCTGGGGCTATAGGCACATGCCACTGTGCCCAGCTAATTTTTTTTTTCTTTTTTTAATGTTGTACAGAGACAAGGTCTCCCTATATTGCTCAGGCTGGTCTTGAACTCCTGGCCTCAAGCAATCCTGCCTTAGCCTCCCAAAGTGCTGAGATTACAGGCGTGGCCACTGTGCCTGTTTCTGGAGGGTGGTTCTTTGCCCCATGAGAACTTTCAGGTAATGAAAGGAATCTCCACCAAGACCTCAGACCGTGGACCAAGACCTTTCCCTGCATGCACCCTGGCTGCATCTCCCCTGCATCTGATGCCAAACCGGGCCATGGTATAATCTCAGGCTAATCTTAGGCTTTTAAGCCATCCTCATGCGAACTGCTCAGGGCCATGGCAATTCTAATTATCTGGTTCCTTCTCACCCTCCTGCAGCTCTGTCTACAATTTTGCTCGTCACCTAGCTATGCTGCCCAGCTTCTACCCTGCACATCTCTGCAGTGCGTCTGCTTGAGGGGCAAAAAGGGAACTACCAGTCGCTGAGCTCCTCCGTGCCAGGTACTTATTCTGCTCTCACAGACCCTGCACCCATGGCTGGAATGTGCTTACGTCCCCAGATTTTTGATAAGAAAACAGCAAAAGCAGCCTAAATGATTAGTCCACGCCCTCGCATTCTGTAAGAGGAAGAGCCAGGATTAAACCAGACCCTGTCCTAAAGCTTATGTATTTTGTACATGTCCCTGCAGAGCTCAAATCTAGCCTGCCAGTCTGTGGGCTGCCACATCTGTGTTCAATCGCCATTTCTCTTGGTTGAAAAATGTTTTAGTCTTTGAGTACCAGTCTCCCCACCTCGGGACAGGCTGGTGGCAGAGCCAGGCAGTGGGTGGCGGTAGCATCCCATTGCCCAGCCACACTTGTTTTCCGTCCCCCAACCCGTCTGGACTCTTGGTCCTGGCCCATCTGCGGCTGTCCACAGCATGAGGCAGAATTTTGGGATGCTGGATGACCTGTGCTTCTTTAATGGGGGACCTGGACCCAGCCCAGATCTGGGGAAGGAGGAAACCTAGGAAACCTATAGAAGGTGTGGGCAGTGGCTGTGCCTGGACGGGCCTGAGATGTCGCCAGGTGAATGGGGCCCCCCGTCCAACCTTGGCCTCAGCCCAGGGATGGAGTTCCGGTACCACTCTGCCAGGCCTGGGCTGGCGGGGTGGTCAGCGGTTCCCTAGCATACTGCTGGTTCCTGAGGGCCCTGGGCTGAAGCCAAAGGTAGGTAAGGGGCTTCCTGGGGCTCTCCCTCTTAGTAGGGAAATAGGTATTCCAGATCTTCTAGTCTCCGCATCTCCTCCATCCCCATGGACACGGTTTTCCGCTGGGGTTCCTTGCGCTGCACGGTGATCTGGATGGGGTTGTTCTCAGGGAAGCTGTTGAAGTCAGTGGCCACAGTGGCAAACTGAAGTGAAACAAGAAGACCCCTCAGAATTCCTTCCCAGACCTTAGCCTGGCTCTCTCTTCGTCTGTGTCACCCTCTTTTGTCCCTAAGTGGGATCTTAGCCTTATACAAACTAGCCTGGACACAGGAAACACGTCCGAAGAGGCATGACTCAAACTTGTGCCTCCCCAGTTGTGTGATTTCCAACCAAAGGCTACCTATGCTCAGGCCTGTCCCCGGGCCCCTGCCCATCCTCAGGCTGTTCCTGTTCCATCCCCCTCTAGCCTGTCTTCCCTCTGTTTCCCTCAATGCCCTTGATTTCCCAGCCCCCCTTGTGGAGGGGGTTGAGGAATCCAAAACCCAGTGGCTTTGGAAGATGAGCATTATAGTGATGCTCAATGAATACATTAGTTTGCATTCCTGGTGGGCCCCAGAGTAGCTTAATCCTTAAACCTCCCAGAGAAAAGCAGCCTGGTATTGATGCTTATTGGCCCAGGCAAAAGGCAGGCTAGCAAGGAGATGAGTTGTGGGGGTACAGGGGTGTTCCCAACCTCCAAAGCCCCGGTTCCCTGGTTTCAGACTTTCCTCCCTGACCCCCAGGGACCCTGTTCTCCCAGGGCTCACTCTGTAGGGCTTGCACCACTTGCCCACCCCCGCTGTGTTGGCTGCACGGACGGTGAGGCAATAACACGTGTTAGGCTTCAGCTCCATCAGCTTGACGGTGGTACCCAAGATCTTGTTGAAGATCCATGGACGATGCTTTGTCTTGGGTGACTCATCTTCTTTTTCCTTGGCCACCTCCTGTAACAGGACCTGGTAGAAACTGACCTGCTGCTTGCCCAAGGCATAGGTCCAGGAAATCTACGGGAAGAGAGAACCCCAAGGCTTCCTCAGACCTGTCCTTCCTCCTTCCTGTACCCTCCACCCCAACGGGGGTCAGAACGCCCCACTCCCATCCCCTGCTCCTGCTGGGCCCAGGCAGGTCTGATGGAAGGTACGAGGCACTGCAACACTGGGTGTGGAACCACACAGCATGTGCTACTCTCCCTGGGCAGCCCCACTCACCTTAGGGTGCACCCTCATTCCATATTTCTTCTAGACTGTGTTAGTTGAGAGGAACATTAGAGATCATCTTGTCCACCTTGCTCATTGCAAGTGGGGTTACAGGTTCAGAGAGGGCAGGTGACTGGGCTATGGTCACACAGCAATTAAGTGACAGCACTGAGGTTCAAACCCCTAGCTCCAGAGCCCATACAGCTTGTACTACAATAATGGCTGCCAAGCCTGGCTAGGCATCTCAGGGAGTTTTTATAATGACTCAGATTCCTGGGCCTGCTGTCTCCTATCTGGTCTCTCATTCTCAGTTTCTCCTCCATGTAGGCCAGTGATTGTCAGACTTTACTGGGCATTAGCATACCTTGGAGGAGTGTTAAAATATAGATTGCTTGGCCCCATCCCCACAGTTTCTGATTCAGGAGGCCCAGGTGTGGTGGTAGGAGATAAGAATTTAAATTTCTAACAAGTTGCCATGTGATGCTGACACTCTGTCTGGGACCACACTTTGAGAAACACTGCTCCAGGCCATCCAACAGTGGGGCTTCCAGATTTATCTTCCTAAAATACAACTCAAATTATATCCATCACCTGATATAAAGCTTTTTTTGAGACAGGGTCTTTCTCTGTTGCCTGGGCTGGAGTGTAGTGGCATCATTATAGCTCACAGCAACCTCAAACTCCTGGGCTCAAGTGATCCTCCTGCCTCAGCCCCCAAGTAGCTGGGACTACAGGTGTGCACCACCACGCCTAGCTAATTTTTTCTATTTTTAGTAGAGACAGGGTCTTGCTCTTGCTCAGGCTGGTCTCGAACTGACCTCAAGCAATCCTCTTGCCTTGGCCGCCCAGAGTGCTAGGATTAGAGATGTCAGCCACTGCACCCAGCCTAATATAAAGCTTTGTGCAAAGCTGTTCACTATTGCTTACTGAAAAATCTATAAAATAGCCTAACATTGGAGGATCTCTGGAAAATGACTCCAAAATGACATTCCCTCTCCTGTCCCCTTTCTTCCCCTTCCCGTAATGTACAGCAGTGCTACTCGACATGTAGCCCGTGGACTGGCAGCAGCAGGATCACCTGGGAATTTGTTGGCACTGCAGTCTATCAGGCTTCACCCCAGACCCTCTAGGTATGAGGCCAGGAATTTCAATTTTAACAAGATGACAGGGAATCTCTAGGTAGAGTGATGGAAATGTGAGAAGCCCTGGATTAAGACCTGGGATCAAACGAGGCTACTCATCTCCTCCCACACTTTGCCACCTGTGAGCCTTTGCTAGGGTCAGGCCCTCCACGGAATGCCTTTCCTCCATCTCTGCATGTTTAAATCCTACCTCCATGTCCCAGCTCAAGTATTACCAAAAGCCACCAAGCTTATTCCTGCAGCTGGAAGTAATGTTTCTCTCCTGAATTCCTGGCGGCACTTGATTTGAACTTTCCTACATCATTGAGCCCTTTCTATCTTGCACTAGAGTTCTTCACGGACATGCCCTCTCTGCGTTCCTAAACCATGAACTTGAGGTCAGAACGCAGGTGGTAGGCATCCTCGCACTCCCCACTAAGCTTCGCGGAGCGCCCGGCACAGCAAGCTTTTGCCGAGTGCGCGGGCGAGGGAGACGCACCATGGCTGTGGAATCGCTGGCGGTGTGTTCGCAGATGAAGGGGGCCTCCGGCACATCCACGACCACAGAGGATTCCGAGTGTGTCGAAGAGGTGTCTGTATCCAGCTCAGGGTTGTCAAGGTCCAGCAGCCCGCTGGGGGTCATTTGGGACTTAGGTTGGTGGGTGCAGAGGGCCAGGTCCCCCTTTTGTGTAGTCTTGACCATGGAGGCAAAGCTGAGTCTGTTCAGCTCTCCCTCGAGCATCCCTGCAAAGAAGTTGCTGTTGGGCTGGGTGACGGCCAGTTTGATGGGGTTCAGCAAGGTGGATGAGACCCGGGAGATGCTGGTGTCATCGGAGCTGCATTCAGAATCCTCCACTGGCATCTGCTTCCTGCAGTGGGAAGGGAGATAGGTGGGTCAGATGAAGGAGGCCACCCAGCCCATTCTGCCTGAGGCCTGAGGCCCAGCCTGTTTCTCATGTTTTTAGATGTTATATAAATAAAAGGTATCATTCAGTATATATCTATCTGCAACTTGCTTTTTTTCACTCAACAGTGGGTTTAAATGCATCTATATTGATACATACAGCTCAGTTTCAGTCATTTTAACTGTCGTATGGTTTTCCATTACATGGATCTTTGTATTGTTACCAATTCTTTGCTATTACAAAGGAAAACCTTGTGCATGATTCCCTACTATTTAAAGTTTTTTTTACTGATGAAGTGCACCAATCCAGTACTAACTCTATGCGTGAGGGGCTCTGGAATTGCCAATTCTATTTTAGTTCATTTTTGTCACACTGGTCTCCACCAACTAGAAGGATTTCCTGATCCACGAATGGGTCAAAATCCAGTATGTGGATCCCTTACTCCAGGCCAGCCTCCCACATCACAGCTGATTGATGGGCCAAGTTTTCCCTCCCTGAGTTCCAGCCCCATCAACCTACCTCCTCCCGAGAAATCTGGATCAGCCCAACCCCCCTAATGCTAGCCCTGGGTGGATGTTTGGAATAAATGATTCCTCCACCAAGGCCCTTACAAAGGGCTGGTGGGTCTGGGTGTTGATGTCATTTATACTTCAGATTGTCCTAATGAATCCATAGTTCAGATTCATTTCTTGGAAATGCTGATGCTGACGTGGGCACAGAAGGCCCCTAGGCACCAGGCTCCGTGTTGGACCTGTCCTGATCTTCACAGCAGCCCTGCTGGCTGGGTGTTAGCCCCATTTTGCAAATAAGAGACTGAGGGTCCCTGATCTTAACTTGTCTAAGGCCATAGATCTAAGTGGCAGAACTTAGATTTGAACTCGGGCTCCTAGCCCAAGGCTTTCCCATAATACCATGAAGTTTCCTACAAGCATCTGTCACTTTAGCCATGTGTGTTTACTTACAGGCCCTTTAGGGGATGGGCACCATGTCCCTCTCATATAATTAAGACCAGCTACATAGTTTGTGGAGCCCCTCGTTCAAAAATAAAGAATTTCAAGAGAGTGACAGCAGAGCATTAAACTACGTACAGGCCCCTTCTAAGTGTCACACCCATGACAGTGCCCTGCATGTAATTCCCTCGGCCCTCGTCGCTCTGCGTCACCACCCCTTCACCTGCTAACTCCTTCCCTTCCCTGGACATTCAGCTCAAATATCACCACCTCCAAGAAGCCTCCCTTAACAGCACTGTCTCCCAAGGTATACCAAGCCCCTCGTAAGCCCTCTGGTTCCCCAAGGCATCCTGTCACGGCACTTACCAAACCGTGTTGTGTCACTCTCATTATTACCTGACCCCGCCCCCTGACCTCCATGCACCAGACTAGGAGCTCGTGGAAGACAGCAACTGTGCTTTCCAGAGCTATAGTCCCAGAACTTAATGCTGGGCCAGACACCTTGAGCAGGTGCTCAGACGGTTTTGCGGAGCGAAGCAGAGGAAACCCAGACTCACTGAGGAGGAAAGGTAAGCCTCACTCTACAGGCAGGCAGGCCGCAGGGAACGTATCAGGCAGGTGAAGAGGTCTGAGAGCGAGGAGCCATGGGGGTGTGGCAGGTGCTGATAACGACTATAGCCAAAGCAGGATGAGGAGCACATCAACAAAACTGATTAATCCAGGAAGGCCTCCTGGAGTAGGAGGTCCACATGCCTGCAAGAACTGATTTGGAGCTCAGGAATGCATAGACAGGTCCAACCTGCACACATGGTCTTCCCTGGAAGTCCAGGGAGTAGGTTGTGATAAGGAAGTGAGGCTTTAAGTTTCTCTCCCCACCCGCCAGCTCCAGCATCAGAAAGGAGAAAAGACTAGACTTGCGTCTTACGGTAGATTGATGGTATCTTCCTCCAAGAAATTAACCAAACTGCCTCTTGTGGAAAGTGGGAGTCCTTTGGTGGTGACCATCCGGTTCATAGACTTGGGGTTTGGAAAGGGCTTCGGCAGTTGATCGAATATATTCCTAACGTTGAGGTTTCCTTTCTTCACTATGGCCTCCTTCCCATCTCCCACTTTACAGACTGCCCCTGATGCCATCTGGTTTGTTTGGGACCACAACCGTCACCATGCAGGACAGCCAAGCTGACAGGAAGCAGAGAGAAACTATAGGGGCAGTGAGCCCACCCTTAGTTTGGGCGGGATGGGGGTGCAATGAGCTGACTTCATAATCATCGCAGAGTGTAACAATCAGGGGCCAGCCTGCCCTTGCTTGTAGGCCGCTGCTGCCAGGCTCGCTCGTGGCTGCAGGGACCATGGGTAGAGCCATGGAACAAACTTCATGGCCCCTTAGGCCTCTTGTGGCTTTAATACTTTGTGCTTACGGCAGCCCTTCTCTGAAGATCTCAAAATGCTAACACCGGTGTGCTGCCCAGGGAAGGAAGAGGATGGTGAGAAGAAGGCACCTGGGCAGGGAGGGAGGCGGCTGGGGCCCTGGGAAAGGGACAGTCTGGAAAGGGTCTCTGGGGATAGGAAACTGTCTATAGGTGCTGAGGCTCTACATCTGGACACCAAAGGCAGCAAACCCTGCTGTGTCCGGACAGGACAGAACCCAGATGGTTCACAGGGGTTCCGAGCTCACATAAGACCAGGCTTCCCTGCTAGAATCCTGAATGTGCCACACCCGCACTCGAGTCCCTTCAAGCGTTGCGTGACAGTGGCAGGTCTTGTGGAGGGACACAAAGAGGGGCCACACATCTCTCAAGGAACCCACTTTATAGTAGGAAAACATGTACAACTTCAGAGGGGGGACAGGGCTGTCACAGCAGCATTAGTGTTGCACTGAGATGTGGTTTGGAGTCCAGACCTGTGCTTGCCAGCCGTGTAACCTTTGCCAATGATTTAACCTCACTGAGCCTCAGTTTCCTCATCTGTGAAATAGGGATTAAAATAGCACCTCCCTCACAGGTATGTGAGGAGATAACCATGTAAAGTTGTTTTACTTCTTCCAGTGGACAGGGCAAAACAAAGGATATTTAAAAATACCAGATCATATTCTTTTGTGCTCTATATGTCCAAAGGTCCCCTCCCCATTTAAAAAAAACCAAACTTTTGGAAAATACAGAGAAGCAGGTGCCCTCCAAGTGCTTTGCTGCTTCTTAGCACCTGTCATATAGTCTGTAGTAATTTTAGTCGTCTGATTCCTTTTTATTGTCTGTCTGTCCCTAACACGTAAAGTAAGCTCCCTGAGGGTAGGGGATTGTCCCCGGCGTTTGGAAGGGAAGCTGGCACACAGGAGGCTCTTTAGAAGGTCTGTGTGTGTGTTGGGGAAGAAGGTTGCGGCCGTGGGTGGCGTGCTGGGCGCGCAGGGGGTAGTGGCTCGCGGGCCGCAGCGGAAGGAGACGCGGACCGGTGGGGCGCGGGCCGGTGGGGCGCGGGCCGTGGGGCGCGGGCGCCGCGGCTCCGCCCGGCGAGGCCGGCAGATGGCGCTGTAGGCCCGGCCCAACCCGAGCGCGCGAGCCTGGAACCCGGAAGCGGCGGCGCGGCCCGGGCGGGTTCTGGAGTCCGGGCGGGTCCCGGGAGGGCGGATGGTCTCCCCGCCCCCCGCCCTCCGCGCCGCCCCCTCGTCCCGCAGCTGGCACGCCACTGCTACTCCCGAAGGGCTTTCAAAGGGGCGTCTGGAGAGGACCCCGCGGATGCCCACGTGGCGAGGAGCCCCGGAGCCTGCCCGGGTTGTCCCGGCCTGCGGGGAACATGGGCGTGCTCAGGGTCGGACTGTGCCCGGGCCTCACCCAGGAGATGGTCCAGCTTTTGGGGAGCCGCGGGATCAAGACAGGTGACCGCGTGTGCGCGTGGCAGGGAGCTGTGCGCCCCGCACACGGCCTGGGTAGACCCGTGGGGGCTGACACCAGTGGCGTACCTGCTGGCTCTTCCCCTCCCTTCCTGGAGGGCCACTTCTCTCATCAGCCCTCACGCCTTTGGAGAGGCTCCGGAAGGGTAGGAGTGGGGAGCCAAGCCCTGAGGCAGGGTAGGACCCATACTGTGTGCCAGGCACCTGGCCAGGTCCTGTGGCTCTTTTATTTGACTCAGGCCCCCTGAGGCTGCTGCTGGGAAGTAGAATTGATACCCGATTTTACATATGAGGAAACACCAACTTCGGGAGGCCCCAGGACGCCCTCCCTGCCAATCAGCTACACGTGTTTTGTTTTCAGTGGTGGACTTGGTTTCTGCAGACCTGGAGGAGGTAGCCCAGAAGTGTGGCTTGTCTTATAAGGTGAGCTCCCAACGTCCATACTCCAAATCTGGGTGTCTTTAAATGTCCATCCGAAACCAAGGGTAACAGGGGGTTTCCAGGGATTAAGGGGGGGCGAGGGGTGTATGATGCCAGCTCCTATGGGCCGGTGCCTTGCTGAGCAGTCTGGGCTGCTTTGGAGCCTGACCTGCCCCCGCCCCTTTGGCAGGCCCTGGTTGCCTTGAGGCGGGTCCTGCTGGCTCGGTTCTCCGCTTTCCCCTTCAATGGCGCTGATCTCTATGAGGAACTGAAGACCTCCACTGCCATCCTGTCTACCGGCATTGGCAGGTTTGTATGTGTACTTGGGGAAGAAGGTGAGAGGCAGGAGAATGGGGCTGCTTCTCAGCTTGGCTTCTGATGCTTTAGTCCTTAGAGAGCAGGTTTTTAAAGCAGTGGTGAGGGCAGCATAGATAGACAGGAAGGAAGAGGGTCAGGACTGAGTTCTCGTCTCCTACAACAGGTTGTGGGGTTTCTCAGCCTTGGCACTGTTGATATTTTGGGACGAGTAATTGCTTGTTTCGGAGTGGAGGCTGTCCTGTGCATTGGAGGATGCCTTGCAGCATCCCTGGCCTCTGCTCACTAGATGATCACAGCACTTACCCGCCTCCAGTTGTGACAATTAAAAATGTCTCCAGGCTGGGAGCATTGGCTCAGGCCTGTAATCCTAGCATTTTGGGAGGATGCCGCAAGAGGATTGCTTGAGGCCAGGAGTTCCAGACCAGACTAGACAACATAGTGAGACCCCATCTCTACACAAAAAAATTTTTAAAAATTAGCCGGTGTAGTGGCATGCACTGGTACTCCCCGCTACCCAGGAGGCTGAGGCAGGAGGATTGCTTGAGCCCAGGAGTTTGAGGTTACAGTGAGCTGTGATGACACTACTGCCCTCTTGCCCGAGTAATAGATGGAGACCCTGTGTCCCCACCAGAAAAAGTCTGCAGACATGGCTAAGTGTCCCTTGGGAGGCAGAATCACCCCGGGTTGAGAAGCAAGTTTCTATAACACAAGATGTAGTATCTCACTGTTATTCAGTAGATGAGAGTAACTCTTCTCTGGCCCTGCCTCCCATTGCAATTAAGGATAGGGCAAGAGCACATCTACTGAGTGCCTGCTACATGCAGGCATTGACTATAGGTCATAGATAATGTCTTTTCAGTGATCCTACGAGTTAAGAGATTATTAACCCCACTTGAGTTTAGGTAAGAGTGAGTGAGTGACAGAGGTGAGGCCCAAACCCAGGGATATTTGGCCCAGAACTTGGCTCCTCCACCACACTGCCGCAGTAGGGAACAGGAGAGCTCAGGTAAGGGAGCAGTTACTGTCTGCTATGTTGTTGGGGACGGGAAGGGAAGAGTTGCAAGACAACAGGTATTTTCTGGCCAAGGTAGTCCGACCTCTTTCCTATCCCGTTTGTGCAGAATTTGATGACTAACTCTGCCACCACAAGGGTCTTTGATTGGTTTGGCCCTTGCTGTTTCCATCACACATCCCTTTGCAAGGTTCCTATGGCATGGTCTTGCTCTCCCTGGTTGGGGGTCGGAGTCTGTAATCCATCAAGCACTGGCTGAGGGCCAGCGTGAGGGTGCTCAGTGTGAAGTGTGTTTAGCAAACATCACCAGGTGCCGACAGAGTGCCAGATATGTGCCGATGATGCATACATGAGTGAGGCATGGTCCTGCCTTTAAGGTGTCTAGTGGGTATAGGAGGAAAGCAGGTGAACACGAGGGAGGTGTAGCACGTAGGGAGGGAGTGATTAACAGGAGGCAGATTGGCTTCGGGGAGCTTATAAAACCGGCAAACACGGAGGGAGCAGTCAAGTGGTAAACTGGAAGGACGGCAGCTGCAGTGGGTCCCTGCAGGGGAGATCAGAGTGGTTCAGGAAAGCTCCAAAGGAGGCGGACCTTGGGCGTTGAGGACAGATGTGCTTTCGCTGAGTGCTTACACTGTGCTCAGCACTTCAGGGTCCGTTATTTCATTTATCCTTCACAACCACCAGTGAGTACACTACTGTTAAAATCATTGCTGTATAAATGAAGAAATTGAGACTCAGGTTAAATGGCTTGCTCAAGGTCACGCAGCCTGTGAGTAGCAGACCAGGCACTTGAGGTCATGTCTGTCACACTCCTTAGTCTAAGAATGTACCTCTAACTGGTCTGCCTGTTGCCTGGAGGTGGAGGCCATTGTGAGAGTCGGGTTATAGGCAGTGGGTAGAGGCGTGCAGGGTGGATGGGTGGGAGAGGCCAAGAGCAGCACTGGTGGTCGGTGCTGGTGTGTTCGTCCTATCTAGGGCAGGTGACAACAGGAGACGTATTCAAGAAGAACTGCGACAACCCTTACAACCAGGAGGGATGTGGGTGTGAAGAATCAAAGATGACTCACTGGGTTTCTTGCCTTCCTCACAGTGTGCTGTGGACAGTTAATGGATGTAACTTTAAAACTTGATGAGAGGGGAGCTCTGTAATCTAAAGCTTCAGAAATGCCTGATTAACGCAGATTAAACAGGCTTCTCTGTTGTAAGCCTTCTCAGAGCCTTTAGTGCTGAGCTGCAGTGTGAGTCCCTACAGGGTGCTACAGCGTGTAATGGACCTTGGGAAAGGCTGTGTTAATGGGGAGATTGGTGGCTCCTTGCAGGCTAGAACTGTGTTCACCTCTGTGTCCCCTCCTTTTAGACTAAGGCCTTCAGGAGATGTGAGACATTCAGGCGATGTTTGAATGAATGTATGAAAAATGGCTAAAAGGCAGTTCAGAGGGAAAGGAGGAGGCTACATCCCAGAAATCACCTGTGTTCTAGGCAGTGGTAAAATCCAGGTGTGCTTCTGCTCCAGGAGGCAGGCTGGGGGTCTCTCTCCCTGTTGACGTGCTGAGTGAGAGATGGTGGGGAACATCTGGGTAAGGAAGGTCTTCTAGGCAGAGGGACACATGGAACAGAAACACAGGTGAGGAGTGGGCTGGGAGGTGGATTTAGGGATACCTTATGCAGACTGGTTCTCCCAGCCAAGGATGTGGTTGATTCCCAACTAGAGTCACGAGTTCAACCCTGGCTGCATGTGAGAATCGTCTGGAAACCTTCAAAGGGGTTTTCTTGGTTGGTTCCGCCTTTTGGAATTCTTACTTTATTTGTTTTGGGCCGTTGTTTCCGGTTTTTTTTTGCCCTTTGGATTCCCTTGGGCATTTTTTTTAAACATTTCAAATCCCAAGTCTCCCCCGAGCAATTAATCCCATTCTCTGGGGGTGGGACACAGGCATCAGTATTTTTTGAAGCTCCCAGGTGACTCCAATGTGCAGACAAGTTTGGGAACTGCTGAAATAGGCATCTTTTTAAAAACTCCCCTGGTGTTTTAATGTGGATTGAGAATGGCTAGTCTGATGGTTCTTAAGCGTGCATCAAAATCACCTGGAGGCCTTTGTTGAAACTCAGATGTGGGCTCCAGCCCCGGCCCCGGCCCGGAGTTTCTGATTCAGTCGGGGGCAACGGAGAATTTGCATTTCTAGCCAGTTTCCAAATGTTGCTGATGCTACTGGTCTGGGAACCACACTGGGGACCCACACTGGGGTTTCCCTTATCTCAGTGGGAAGAATGGGATCTGGAGTGGCAGAGGCTGGATGCTTGTTAAATAGAGATGGGATGAACACAGTTATCTCAAGCCACAGGGCTGGAGTGGTAACAGAGTGTTTTTGAGTGGCAGGGACCTGTAGGTGTAATCATGGAATTAACATAGATGGGTGTTTACCGAAGTGCTGCTCGGCATATACAGAGAGGTCCCGGGAGGTCTTCAAGAACCATTTCCAGGACTGGAAGCTGTGAAGGGGATTGCAGGGTTAGGAAAGGCATGTGTGTGGTCAGGCGATGGTACAGCCTGTGGCATAGGAGGGTAGGTGGTGATCTGTGTAATGTAGTTCAGGGACAGAACCTGGATTAAGAATTGCGTTTGTCTTTAGGTTTGTCCCAAGGCTTCCACAGCCAGCATTGACAATGCAGGAACTAAATAAAAGTGATAGGCCGGGCGCGGTGGCTCACGCCTGTAATCCTAGCACTCTGGGAGGCCGAGGCGGGCGGATTGTTTGAACTCAGGAGTTCGAGACCAGCCTGAGCAAGAACGAGACCCCGTCTCTACTAAAAATAGAAAGAAATTAATCGGACAACTAAAAATAGAAAAAATTAGCCGGGCATGGTGGCTCATGCCTGTAGTCCCAGCTACCTGGGAGGCTGAGGCAGGAGGACCACTTGAGCCCAGGAGTTTGAGGTTGCTGTGAGCTAGGCTGACACCACGGCACTCTAGCCAGGGCAACACGGTGAGACTCTGTCTCAAAAAAAAAAAAAAAAAAAAAAGTGATAGCACTGTTCTACTACTCATTTCTCTGGTAATGTTTATTGGGTGCCTCCTGTGTTTCCGGCACTGTGCTAGTGCTGGGATGCAGCAGGGACAGGGCCCAGTCCTTGCCCCAGGGCGCCCTTCAGCCAAATGAGGGAGACAGACAAAAACAGCAAATAAAAAATAATTACAAACTCCCAGAACTAACAATTGAGTTCGGCCTGGTCTCAGAATACAAGATCAACAAATAAAAATCAATTGCATATCTCTATACTCGCAGTGAACATGTAGAAACTGAAATTAAAAACATAATAGCATTTCCAGTTGCTTCAAAGAAAATGAAATATTTAGGGATAAATGTAACAAAGCATGTGTAGGATCTATATGCTGAAAATGAAAAATTGCTGATGAAAGAGATCAGAGATGACTTAAATAAATGGAGAGACATAGTGTGTTTATGGATTGAGAGACTCAACGTAGTAAAGATGTCAGTTCTCCCCAGATTGATCGGTAGATTTAATATAATTCCTGCCAAAATCCCAGCAAGGCTTTTTTTGTTGACATAGACAGGCTTATTCAAATAATTATATAGAAAGGCCAGTTTTATCTAGACTAGCTGAAACAATTTTGAAAAAGAAAGGTAAAGTTGGAGGAATCACTCTACCCAGTGTTAAGACTTGCTCTATAGCTACAGTAATCAAGATGAGTGTGGTATTGGCCAATGGATAGATATATAGATCAATGGAGCCGAATAGAGAACCCAGAAATAGACTCCCACAAGTATGCACAACTGATTTTTGACAAAGGTACGAAAGCAGTGTAATGGAGGAAAGACAGCCTCTTGAACAAATGGTGCTGGAGATCTTGGACATCATAGGCCAAAAAATAATAATAATAAACCTAAACTTCACATCTTATACAAAAATTAACTGAAAATGAATCATAGGCTTAAATGTAAAACATAAAATTATCAAGTTTTTAGAACAAAACATTGGACAAAACCTTTGCAAACTATAGGGCTAGGGCTAGCCAAAGTGTTCTTTTTTTTTTTTTTTTTTCTCGTGGGCTCAGGTGATCCTCCTGCCTCAGCCTCCTGAGTAGCTAGGACTACAGGCATGTGCCACCACACCCCGCTAGTTTTTTCTATTTTCAGTAGAGATGGGGTCTTGCTTTCCCTCAGGCTGGTCTTGAACTCCTAACCTCAAGTGATCCTCCCACCTTGGCCTCCCAGAGTGCTAGGATTACAGGTGTGAGCCACCGTGCCAGGCCCAAAGAGTTCTTATTCTTAGATTTGACACCAAAAGTATGATCTGTTAAAATTTTGATGAATTGGACCTAACCAAAATTAAAACTTTTGTTCTACAAAAGAGAATGAAAAGACAAATGCAGCATGGGAAAAATATTTGGAAGCACATATTCAACAAAGGATTTATATTTAGAATATGTAAAGAATTCTTAAAATGAAATGGTAATAAAACAAATAATCCAATTAGAAAATAGGCAAACGTATGAGCAGGCATTTCATCAGAGAGCACGTGTGGGTGGCCAATAAGCACATAAAAAATGTTCAACATCATTAGCTATTAGGGAAATGCAAATTAAAACGACAATGAGATATAACGACACACCTATGAGAGTGGCTACAATAATAGTGATAACACCAAATGCTGATGAGGATGTGGAGAAATTGAATTAGTGACACATACATTGCTATGGGATTGTAAAATGGCATCGCCACTTTGGAAAATACTTTGAGACTTTCTTATAAAATTAACATGTGTTTACTGTACAACTTAGCAATTGTATTGTTAGACATCTATCCAGGAGATACAAAGATTATACACAAATGTTTATAGCAGGTTTATTCATAATAGCCTCAAAGCAGAAACAACCACAGTGTCCTTCAGTGGGTGAGTGGTTAAACAAACTGGGGGACATCCATGACATCCATACCATGGAATACTGTCCAGCAATCAAAAGGAGTTGAATTATCTGTACATGCAAAACTTGGGTGGATCTCAAGGAAATGATGCTGAATGAAAAAAAGCCAATCACAAAAGTCACATGGTATACGATTCTATGTACATAGTGTCCTTGAAATAACAGAGATGGAGAACAGATTATTGGTTGCCGGGGTTAGGGAGTAGGGGTGAATGGGAGGGGTGTGGCTATAAAAGGGTAGCACGATGGAGACTTAGAGTGATGGAAATGTTCTGTGTCTTGATCGTGGTGGTTATGCAAACCTGCATGTGTGATAAAATGGAACTATGTACACAGACACACACTTGAGTGCAAGTAACCCTGGTGAGAGCTGAATAAGCTCTCTGGATTGTACCAATGTCAGTTTCCTAGTTGTGATTCCATGCTATAGTACAATACATCTTACAGTGCAAGGTGTTACCATTAGGGAAAACCACGTGAAGGGTACATGGGACTTTTTTTGCAACTTCCCATGAATATATAATTATTTCAAAGTTAAAAAAAATTGCAAATTATGGGAAATGTTGTCAGGGAAACCCACAAGGGGCTGAGATGGGGAATGAGAGGAGGAGGCAGAGGCCTCTCTGGAGAGGTGATCTTTAAGCTGCGAGAGGAAGGGTGAAGAGAGACCAGAGGAGGAACGTTTAGGCATGCCCTTCCTCCCAGAAGAAAACTCCACCAGGAGAAGCCTCCTGGCCAGAGACATTGAAAGTGTCTCTAGACAGAACCAGTGCTTGGAGGGAATGTCTTGGCTTTTCTTCTTGGCACCCATTCCCCTCCCTTCTCCCTAACCTCCTGTGTTGACTCTCTTGTCTTCTGCCATCAGCCTGGACAAACTGCTCGATACTGGTCTCTATACTGGAGAAGTAACTGAAATCGTAGGAGGCCCAGGTAGTGGCAAAACCCAGGTATGTGTGAGGCCAGTAACTAAGGGGATTGAGGGAGGTGGATGTGTAGCCTTGGATCCCTCGGGGAGCTTCTGCCAGTGCACTCAGGGGTTCAGAGCTCAACAGAAAGAATATGGGTGATGAGCAGTGAGGCTTGGACTTGGCCCATTTGTGTCACTGGAATCAGGGCAAGATTTGGTGGGGAGCTCCCTTTCTAGGCCTCTGAGGGTTCAAGTTCACCCATTCCCCCGTCTCTACTCAGGTATGTCTTTGTGTGGCTATAAATGTGGCCCATGGCCTGCAGCAAAACGTCCTATATGTTGATTCCAGTGGAGGGCTGACCGCCTCCCGCCTGCTGCAGCTACTTCAGGCTAGAACCCAGGATGAGGAGGAGCAGGTAAGGGGGCAGGATGGTTGGGTTCCATTGAGATTTCTGACCCAAGAAGACCCTGTCATCCCTTGCACTGCAAGAATTTGGGTTGTTGGGGTTAATGGTTCCTGCTTTGAAACTTGCTGTTCTATTAATACATCCTGTATTCCTTAAGCCTCCCCTTTAATGCCATCATCCCAGCTTGGGTGCTGCCCTCACCAATCCTTCCAGGAAACTCCCCCAACTCCTTGCCTACCCTTAGTCAGGGCTGGCAAGCAGCCCGCATCCATGTTTCCAGTCCATTTCTTGCCCACGGCAGGCATCACTAATTGGCTGTATCACTCTTTGCTGCTGAGTTCTGAGTACTTTACAGCTCTGCACCCAGGCAGCCACTGCTGTGCAAACTGGCCCATTAGACAAAGCCCATTTGCTATCCTGGACCCACATCCTTGCATCTAGGTGCCTCTTCCTTTTCAGCCTTACTCCGACCTCCTACTCCCTCTTATCCAAAGCCCCTGCTTCTCTTTTCTACCTCTCAGGCAGGAGCTCTCCAGAGGATCCAGGTGGTACACGTGTTTGATATCTTCCAGATGCTGAGTGTGCTGCAGGACCTTCGAGGCACCGTGGCCCAGCAGGTGAGCCTGCTGCCCTGTCCTTCCTTGCTTTACTCAACATGCCAGCTGCTATCTGTATGTGGCCCGGTGTCCTACTACAGACTCAGTTTGGAAATGCAGATGTACAGTTTGGTAACTCCAGCTGTGCTTGCCACTCCCTGGATGGAATTCTTAAGTGCTTAATTCATATGTCTCATTGCTGACATGCTCATCTTCCGCTGAACAGTAAGCCCCTTAAGTGGAAGGATCGTGTCATATCTCTTTCTGCATTCCCCTCTAGATCAGTTAGGAATACTTACTTTCAGCTGCAAGTAATAGAGGTTGTCTGACAGAGACTTGAAACTTGAGGACATGTAATTATCTCTTATGAGCCTGGAGGTTGCCAGGTCCAGAATATCAAGGCACTAGGTTGTGGTCTGGTTCTCTTGTTCTTCCCCTCATGATTGCAAAGTGGCTGCTGTAGCTCTAAGCATCTTGTCTTGACACATCCATGTCCATATTGAGGGCAACAAAAGATAGATTATTCTTTTCTGTTTTGCTTCCCTTTTATCAGGAAAGAAAAATCTTTCTCCAGAGCCCATTAGTAGACTTCCCTCTTCCCTTTACAGCTAGTTGTCCAAAACTGAGTTATATGTGTATCTTGGACCAGGGGCTGGGCCCACCTTCCCTGAAGTCAGGAGATTTCTGCCCAGTGCTTGAACATGTTCAGACCTGTTGACAAAGGATTTAGAATGGCATTGGGTTGGTACTCTGCTTCTCCCGCTAGGTGCTTAGACAGGATTTGGTACACTGGTAGACTGTTAGATCTGGAAGACACCTTGAAGATAGAATAGTACATCACAAACTTTTTCTCTCACCCCAAACCATGACATGTTCTCATGGACATACCCAGGATTGCCTATAAAGAAAATGATTTTTACAAACCTTAGGACATACAATAGTTGAACAAATACTTGCCATAGAAGTTAATAGCTGGTTATGACCCACCAGTGTGTTGAGATGGGAAGTTGAGTAGTGCTGATCTAACCCTTTTGTTTTTAGACATGAGGAGAGCAAAGGCCAGAGAAGTTGAGTTGCCCGAAGTCACCCTATTTTGGATAAGAACTAACTTTATTGAGCAAACTTCTCAATTCCAGGTTGTCCAGAGACTGCCTTCAGCTCCTAGAGACTGCTCACTGCTCCTGCCACGTGGCCCTTTCCACAGTGGGTTTATAGTATGGCTACTTGCTTCTTCAAGGCCAGGAAAGCGAGAGCAAGTAGCCACACCAGGTCTTATGTAAAATAATGTAACAACAGGGCCAACCAAACACGGTGCCTCAACCATGTAATCCTAACACTTAGGGAAGCTGAGGCAGGAGGACTGTTTGAGGCCAGGTGTTCAAGACCAGTCAGGGCAACATAGCAAGACCCCGTCTCTACAAAAAATAGAAAAATTAGTTGGGCATGGTGGCGTGTACTCGGGAGGCTGAGGCGGCAGAATCCCTCGAGCACACAAGTTCAAGGCTGCAGTGATTGCGTCACTGCACTCCAGCCTGGGTGACAGAGCTAGACCTCGTCTCTTAAAAAAAATATATAATCACAGTAGTGGTATTCCATTACTTTTGCCATAGAATGTAGCCTAATCAAGAGAGTGACATTCCAACACCTTTGACATCTTATTGGTCAGGAGCAAGTCTCAGGTCTTGCCCACACTCAAGGGGAAAAGATGATACAAGGGCTTGTACCTGAAGGTGGGAATCACAGGGGCCCCCTTAGGTTCTGTCTGCCACAGATGACCTGTGGCAGAACTGTGAGATAATAAATATGTTGTTTTAAGCCACTAAGTCCGTGGTAACTTGTTATGCTGTAATAGAAAACACGTCATCCAGTGGTCCTGCTGTGAAAAATATAGTAGCTTTGTAGTCACAAGTAGCAAAGGGCTTGCCATCCTATTGTAGCCAGAGTTCAGCCTGCTCTCCCAGGGGTGGGAAGTGGGGTTCAGCCGGTTTCAGTTTTAGCTTCTCTTTTCGGCATCTTCTCCTAGACAAGCTGGTGACTGGCCAAGAGTCAGTAGCTGGAAGATGAAGGAAGACGTGCAAAAGACAGTGCAGATGATGCTGAATTTCCAAGACTTGACCCATATGAAGTAAAAAAAAAAAAAATATGTTGTAGAAACAGAATCCGGATGTAAGAAGTAAGGGAGAAGAGAAAGGAAGCAGCAAGTCAGTTTAGGCCCAGAAAAACCAGGGGGATGCTAATGATTGTATAGAGACAAAAAATTATGGTTGAAAGATGGCCTTGGAGTTCCTCTTAGAGAAAGAACTGTCTTTATTTGGAAACATTTTAGATAAGGGAGCTGAGGGCCTGGAGACACGATCTAGGAGGAGGCAGTGAGGTAAAGAGAAGGCTAACCTCTTCAGCCAGGGAAGTGAGGAATTTGGGAGTGGAAGTTAGCAGTAGGGAGAAGAGGGGAAGGGGGTCAGAGAAGGAGAAGGGCCAGTGGAAGGAGGCTGGACATAGGAGAAAGATGGCCACTGAGAGGTCCACGGCCAGGAGCCACAGGCCTCTGAATCAGATGTCCTAAAATTTGGCTATTTTGGTGTATTTGTGATGGCCTGTGATTTAAACCCTCTCTTCTCTACCTAGGTCTATAGTAAAGCCTGTTATACATACAAAGGCAGGGATGAGGGGAGGCCCTGCGATGATCACATTCAGTGATGCCCATGCATGTGTTTGGGATGGGGGAGGTTATTTCTTACTGGTTTCTGATAGAGGAGCAAGCTTTTCCGGTGATGGGTGTGCCCTGGAGGCCAGCTGGTTCATGAGACCTGCTTCCCCCACCCCTCCAGGTGACCAGTTCTTCAGGGACTGTGAAGGTGGTGGTCGTGGACTCGGTCACTGCGGTGGTCTCCCCACTCCTGGGAGGTCAGCAGAGGGAAGGTGAGTGGTATGGCGGAGCCTGGGCTCGGGGGAACATGACCTCGCCTCCCACCTCTGGGGTCTGGTCACCAGCCAGTCTTGTCCCTGGCCTCCTTCTGCCCTCTCTCTCTGCCTCTCGTCTGCCCCCAGGCTTCGCCTTGATGATACAGCTAGCCCGAGAGCTGAAGACCCTGGCCCGGGACCTGGGCACAGCAGTGGTGGTGAGGAAGCAGGCTTGGCCAGCGAACTCGGTTTCTAGTTAGGGCTCTTTATTTCCCCTAAGTGGCAGCTTCTGAACCCCAAAGTGGCCCTTTAGGAAAGGAGCATAGAACATAGCCCAGCTCCCTGGGTCAGCTAGACCTCTGGGCCATAAATAGCCAAGGGGATCAGGGACTGTCTAGTTTTTCTTTCTAGTTTTTTAAAAGTCAGGTTTATTGAGATATAACTTGCTTAGAGTAACTTTCTCCTTGTTGAAGTTTGACTAATGGATATGGTTGTATGTAGTCTTGTTACCCCACCGAAAGGTCCCCCAGCCCCAGGCAACCACTGATCTGTTTTCTGCCCCAATAGTTTGGCCTTTCCTAGAACTTAATATAAATGGATCTTTTTGCTATTGAAGTAACTTTTTCTG